TGCTAGCAGCTGAAAAGGAAAAGCACCCAAGCAGGTTACACTCCTGGCAATCAGTCTCTAACAGCATACAATAAATCCCCCCAAGAACGAGACAAAGCTCCGTGTTGTGGGTCAAGCAGTGAACAGTCAGAGCTGTGGGTTTATTGTCCTTATATACACAGTAGTACCGCCCACAGGGTTTTACACAACAACCAATCATAAACGTACATTACAGAAACACTCCCAGCAATTACACACAAAAATCCTCCCCTCTGCCTGTGATCTAATTATGGCACACAATGCTTAACATAATTATCACAAGCAGGAAAAATACAGTTTTTATAACTTCACTATAACTTTAAAACTACACATCCAATTCATAAAAAATACATATTTGGAATCAGCACACTTTAAAAATAAACATAACCAAAAATCAGCCAAATCCATCCAGGGGTTAAAAAGTTAGCTGGAGGTCCCTTTATGACCGACCGCAAGCACATTTTCCTGCCCAAAACAGTTCCATAGATTTGGGCTGTGCGGCCGGTCTATTTCAGGCTGAGAAAACGACTAAGTCCCATCGCCGAATGGGAATCTCTGCGGCTGTAAAATCAGTATGGGAGAAGGTAGAGCTCAGCAGTGTTCGCGGAAATGTGTAGCCGATTTTAGATCCATGAATTTGGCTACACATACCGCTGACCTCGTTCGCATTAACAAAGATGGCCGCCGCCACGTGTTCGGCAAATGAACAAAGGCCACCCAGCATTGTCAATTAAGCTGCGGTTAACCGCAGCTTCTGGGAGGTAAATTGCCTGCACACTTCCACTTCTGGGTGGTCTGCCTGTGTGGTACTTGGTTCAGTAAGCCCCATTTACTGAAGTGGGAAATAGCCAGGCACAAAGGGTTTGAACCAGGTCTGGGGACACAGGGGACACCGTCTTAAAGGGGCAGTGCCCCAATCTTCCTGATGTCCCAAAAAGGTGTTTAAAGGGCCAGCACCAGTCCCATAAAGAGTCCATAAGCCACAATATGCCCACTGACTGTCTTAAAGGGCCATATACACCCAATAAAAGTGCATACATTTTCACCATCTCCCGGGGCCATAGTCATGTGGAAGGAGGCTGGCAAATAGGCTTCTCCAATGCAATGTGGCAAGATTGGTCTCGTCACATCTCTCCCCTTTTCCAAACAGACTAACAGGGTATCTGACCTTCTGCCGGTCAGTGCCCTTGTTAGTCCAGCAGCCCACCCACAAAACACAATCAACAGCACAGCCCACCCACAATAAATGGTTACTACACCTGGGTAGAGGAGAAGCTTGTCCATGTCCAGGTGCCTCACCATGGCTGTGCTGGGTACGGGTATGTTGACTTGGTGGGTTGCTGCGTGGGCAGAGACCAGCAGTATTCTTCCCTGTTGCTAGCGCTACTTGAAGCCTGGTTGTTGGAGGGGGAGACCGACTGTCTCCCCTTTAGATACACAGCCCTGCTGCTGGAGACCGACTGTCTCCCCTTTAGATACACAGCCCTGCTGCTGGAGACCGACTGTCTCCCCTTTGGCTACACAGCCCTGTTGCTGGGGGGCAGAACCGACCGTCCCTACCCCCTGTGCTGGACGTGCAGAGACCACGGTCCCATCTGCACAGTTGTGGGGCTTACTGTCTCCCCCTGGTACATTAAGCTGCCGCTGTGGAGAGGGGGTAACAAGCTCCTCTCCCATATATACTTCTAGTCGCAGGGGAGGGAGACCGACTGTCTCTGCTCCCAATACAGACTCCTGCTGCTGGGGAAAGGAGACTGGGCTCTCTATTCCCGGTAGGACACTCTGCCGCTGGGGAATGGAGACTGGGCTCCCAATTCCCTGTAATTCACACTGCCGCTGGGGAAAGGAGACTGGGCTCTCTATTCCCGGTAGGACACTCTGCCGCTGGGGAATGGAGACTGGGCTCCCAATTCCCTGTAATTCACACTGCCGCTGGGGAAAGGAGACTGGGCTCTCTATTCCCGGTAGGACACTCTGCCGCTGGGGAATGGAGACTGGGCTCCCAATTCCCTGTAATTCACACTGCCGCTGGGGAATGGAGACTGGGCTCTCTATTCCCGGTAGGACACTCTGCCGCTGGGGAATGGAGACTGGGCTCCCAATTCCCAATAAATAAATCTGCCGCTGGGGAATGGAGACTGGGCTCCCAATTCCCTGTAATTCACACTGCCGCTGGGGATCTGAGCCAACTGCCCAGCATCCCTGTAGCTCACCCTGTCACTGGGGAGGGAGGACGCTGCTCTCCTCTCCCTGCAAGGGACACTACCGCTGGGGGACAGGACCACTTGTCTCTGCCCCCTGTAACTCAGCCTGCCGCTGGGGAATGGAGCTCGGGCTCCCAATTCCTTGCAATTCCTGTGGAGAGACCTCGGTCCCATCTCCACCTGCCGCCTGGGGTTCCTCCCAGTAAATCTCAACAATGTCTTCCCAGCTGAATGGTTCTGGAACTGGATCTGTCACCTTGCTGTACTGCTGAGCCTTATCAATGGAGTGGAAGAGATCTCAGTAGTCCTGCTCCAGTTTCCACTCCAGGGTTGCTAGGTGAGCCAGGTCTTGCTCAATGTCGTGAGTGTCGTCCCAGTCATACCTTCTCTCCCTCCACTCCAAGAGATCACTGAACCGGGCTTGTGTAGGGCTCCCAAATTCAGGCTCTGAAAAAGCCTCCCATAACAAGCCAGGACCATCAAACTCCTCTCCCTCTGGCTTGTCATGCTCGGCTGTCCAGGGCAGGTACTGTGCCCCATACCACTAGAGCGCCTGGTAGGCATCTTCCAGCCGAATCTCCTGCCATACCCGGTGCTCCAATTCCTTCACCCATTCATCCAGGGGCTGCTCTCCCAGGAAGGGCATCCGCAGGGCCACTTGTTTCTGCAACCGCTGCTCTTCACTGGGGAGACTCTCGCCCCGCTGGTATTGTACATTATCCAGGGCCTGGTACCAGATGCCTTTCCTTAATGCATCCCGGCCATCCAGGTCCTCCTTCTCGTATGACACTGCTGGTTCCACTCTGTTGCTGTCAGGGTCGCTGTACTCAGACATGCGTTGCCCTCAAATTGTAAATCCACTGAATGGTGTCACCTGTAGCTGTCCTGTAGTCTGTGGGAACGATCCCACTGCTGTCACCAATTGTAACGGACCGTTTTGCACACAAGGGGTAAAACCCGTTTAGGCGATCGTCCCCTTTTCAGAGATGCAGGCACAGCTACTTCATAACACCAAACTCCCGAACAGGATACCAAGTAGCACTCCAAATTCCAGACCTGGAACCTCACGAATAGCTGCTAGCAGCTGAACAGGAAAAGCACTCAAGCAGCTTACACTCCTGGCAATCAGTCTCTAACAGCATACAATAAATCCCCCCAAGAACGAGACAAAGCTCCGTGTTGAGGGTCAAGCAGTGAACAGTCAGAGCTGTGGGTGTATTGTCCTTATATACACACTAGTACCGCCCACAGGGTTTTACACAACAACCAATCATAAACGTACATTACAGAAACACTCCCAGCAATTACACACAAAAATCCTCCCCTCTGCCTGTGATCTAATTATGGCACACAATGCTTAACATAATTATCACAAGCAGGAAAAATACAGGTTTTATACATGTACTATAACTTTAAAACTACACATCCAATCTTCATAAATGCGCTAAAGAGAAGCGTACTGGATCTTTAACCCCTTAAGGACTGGACTGTTTTTGCGATGTTGTACATTTGCGACCAGGCCTCTTTTTACACTTTTCTGGTGTTTGTGTTTAGCTGTAATTTTCCGCTCTCTCATTTACTGTTCCCATACAAATTATATATTGTTTTTTTCAGGACAAAAGGGGCTTTCTTTACATACCATTATTTATATAATCTCATGTATTTTAATTTAAAAAAAATAAAAAAATGATGAAAAATTTATAAAAATACATGTTTTTTGACTTTTATTTGAAAAATCTTTTACTCATCTACAAAAGCGAATGGGAAAAAAAACAGCTAAATAGATTCAAAATTTTGTCCTGAGTTTAAAAATACCCAGTGTTTACGTGCTTTTTTTTTTTGCAAGTTATAGGGCTATAGGTACAAGTAGGATATGGCGGTTTCAAAACAAACATTTTTAAAATGTATCAATAGTGACATTGTAACACTATTATCCAGGGCCAGATTAAGAGCCCAGTGGGCCTGGTGCTGACAATTATGGCAGGCCTAATTAAAGAATTATATTGACCGAAAACAGTAAAACACTCTCAAGTGTCATGTATCTGATGGAGATGGTGCTGGAGAGAAAGAAAACAGCAGCTATAAGAAAACACATACCCTAGGCTAATATCTCTCTAATTTATGTTTTCATCTTTCAAGTAAAGCCATAACCCCTAACAGCAGTGTCCAGTCAAGCAGGAAGTCAATGGGCATGGTAAAAGGGTGTGCCACTGACACATCACGTAACCTGCCAAAAGGGGTGAACATGCCCAAAAAGGGGACATGTCTGCCCAAAGAATTAGAAGGCCAGCCTGGCATGAATGCATGTCAGGCTGCCTGCCAATCATGCAGCTGGCCAACTAAGCGCATACTATGCAGACAGCACCCTGAGCTTGGCATAAATGCATCTAATGATGCGCTCACTCAACGCTTTTTAAGGACTGTCCCCTAGCACTCGCTGGTCCACTTGTCTCCTTACATTCTTACTAGCAGGCAGAAGCTCCTGGTATATAGTCTGGGACAGAGAAAAGCTGTATGTTGTGAGTGTAGAAGAAAGGGAACATGCCACAGTGTTAGAGAGACCAAAGTCAGCATTACCTTAGAGGATCACTATAGGGTCAGGAACACAAACATGAATTCATGACCCTACAGTGTTAACACCACCATCTAGCCCCCCTGTGCCCCTCATGCCTCCATAAATATAGCAAAATCTTACTATATTCAAGCCTGAAGCTGTAACTCTGCATGCTGTTAGACTCATAAAAACAAGCAGTTTGCTGACATCATTAGAAGTGGTGGCCTGATCCAATCACAGTGCTTCCCCATAGGATTGGCTGAGACTGACAAAGAGGCAGATCAGAGTCAGAGCCAGCATGATTCAAACACTGCCCTGGCCAATCAGCATCTCCTTATAGAGATGAATTGAATTAATGAATCTCTATGAGGAAAGTTCAGTGTCTGCATGCAGAGGGAGGAGACACTGAATGTTTGGATGCATTTTAGGCAGCCATGACCCAGGAAGGATCTCTAACAGCCATCTAAGGAGTGGCCAGTGAAGTTATCACTAGGCTGTAATGTAAAGACTGCATTTTCTCTGAAAAGACAGTGTTTACAGCAAAAAGCCTGACGGTAATGATTCTACTCACCAGAACAAATTCAATAAGCTATAGTTGTTCTGGTGACTATAGTGTCCCTTTAACTATATTGATTGTCAGCCATTCCACACAAGTTTTGTTCCCATACATCCCTCTTAAGATTCCATACTTAAGTAAGAGTATGTGAAAACTAGTTGCCACCTTTCTTGGAAAAACAATTTGCATAATTAAATATGTATGGGTGACATCACATGATGTAAATCACAAGGAGTAACATAAGAGAAAATGCTGTAAAATCACCAAAAAACTACTTAGCTTGATTTTGCTGTATAGATGGATTCCTCCCAGTGCCCCCATGTCTCCCAGTGCCCTCATGACTCAGTGTGCCCATGTGTTGATTATTCCAGGTCTCAGTGTTCCTATGTATCAGTGTCTCAGTGCCCCATGTCTCCCAGTGTCCCCAAGTGTCGTGTCTCCAGGTCTCCCTGTGATCCTATGTATCACAGTGTCTCAATGCCCCATGTCTCCCCATGTATCCCAGGGTCCCCATGTCATTAGGACACTAGGAAGATGGGGGGACATGGGGATACCTAGGGACACGGAGACACCAGTGACACTGGGAGACTAGGGGACTCTGGCTGGGATACATGGGGACAATAGGAAAATACTTGAAGACATGGGGACACAGACACTGGTTGTGGACATTGAGACATGGAGGCACTGGGAGACATGGGGACACTGAGACACCAGGGCCACAGACACTAGGGACACTAGCTTGGAGATATGGGGACATTGTGACACTTGAGGCACTGAGAGACATAGAGACATGGAGACAGTGAGACACTGGCAGATTGGGGTCACTGGGAGACTAGGGGGCACTGAGACACCAGGGACACTGGCTGGGAGACATGGGGACACTGTGTCCCTATGTGTCTGTGTCATACTGTCTCCCAATGTCCCTTAGTGTCTCAGTGTATGTCTCCTTGCAGCCTTTCCCCCCATCCCTTACTTCCCTGAGCTGTAGGCTGTCTCTGCAGGGTTGGAGTTGCTGTCTGGACTCTCTGTAGCTGCACCCCTGCAGAGCAGTGAGTATAAATAGGCAGGGAGGGATATGCTGGAACTTCCTATCCCTGCCTGTCTCCACATACAGCGACCCCTACTGGCCAGTGCTGGTATTGCATAGTAATCTCTTGTTTATACTGAGAAAAATACCAGCATTTGTATTGCCAGTATCACTGCAATATTGGCACCAGCCAGGCAGCCTCAAATGCTGGCTGTGCCAATAAAATAAAAGCCAGGTGGAATCCCTAAGAGTAGTGTGTGGGGAAAAAAAAATGTAAATTTTTTTTTTTTTTTTTTTTTTTAATCAATGGGCCTATTCCATGGGCCTGGGCCTGGAGCTGCAGCTCCATCAGCCCCTATGTTAATCCGGCCCTGCCGCCAGGCAGGGAGAGCGGCAAGAGGCGTCCTGGTGAGTCTGCCCCTGGTGGCATACCTGAGTGACGGAGAAGCAGGTCGAGGAGTGTTACTTCTACGGGCTTGAGGCTGGACCAGCGCGGACAGGAGTCGGCATCCACCGGATACTCCAGAGCCTGGCAAGGTGGATGGAAGGACAGCGCAGACGGGGGTTCGGGCGGTGAGTCAATAAACACACCACACTTTTTTAAATTGCATAAATCATTTTAGAGTCATGATCAAGGAAAAAAGGGGCCGTCCCCGCGGTGCCGAAGGGTGGGGTCACCAGAGCGCAGTCGGGAGGCCGAAGTAAGGGTGGTGGTGACGGCGTGCCGGGTAAGGGAAGGGGAATACGGTGTACCGGGGACATCTGACGGGGCAGGAGAACAGTTAGATGTGTGGCAATATTCCAGGGGTGGTGCAACAAAATGGGCACGTGTCCTTCGCGGGGACATTGGGGGGGCACTTGAAGGTGGAGGATAAGATTTGATACAGGGGATTTAAAAAAAAAAAATCCTGTCTTCCGCTCGAGGAGTTCATTGATTTAAAAGGGGTGGTTCCTAATGATAGTGCAGGAAATGCGCTCTTTCTGGGGGCTGACGGCGCACCCCCAGGAGGTGCTGTGCTGGCTGGACAGAAGAAAGGTCCGTCGGGTAGGCTTCGATACGGGTGTTCCGGAGGCGGTGGGAGTCACGGTGTCAACTGACGCGTCAAAAAAGGAAAACCTAAGGCAGGAAGGGTACTCGGCAGGGCTTCAGTCCCGCGGTTGCGGCTCGGAGCGGCACCAATGATGATCAGTGCATTGCTGCTGTGGCTAAGGCAGTAAGCCTCCCATGAATGCGCTAGTTTTATGGCTGAGATTGTTGAGGAGGTTTACGCTATTCCATTCAAAGTCGAGGAAACAGGAAAAGTGGTGGGTGAATATCAAGTCCATGGGGGAACTTCCGCACAGTTAGCGGACCTGTGGGTGTCTCCATGGGGGGTGGTCCCCTAGAAATGGGCGGGCAAATTCTGTCCAATACAAAACTTATCGCACCCAAAAGGGGCATCGGTAAATGAGGACATCGCCGCGGAACTGTTCTGTATCGTTGGCATCATTCGGCCTTGCCGTCGAGTTGGTTTGGGGGAACAGGACGCGTTCGATTATTGGCGACCCTTCCATCTTTTGGGTTGCATGTTTGCAGGTTTCTATTGGTAACCTCTACTTGTCAAGGGGCAGTTCCATTCATGTTCCTACTCGGGAAGTTGGATCCGTCTGGGAGGTGGAAAAGGAATCAGAAAGGGGTTCCTTAGTACATTATCTGTAAGATAGCTTGCTGTGTGGGCTCGGCTGGGCTAGGCCATTGTGGACATACCTTACGGTCACGGGAATCCTACCGCACGTCTTTGCTTGGACTGGAAATTGTTTTGGTGGTAGGAGAGTGTCGATTGCCTGGGGTTCAGTTGACTGCACTTCGGGAGTTCAGGCTGAAGGTTCGCAGGTCCAAGAAGGTCACTGAGAAATCGCAGTTGTTCATAAGGCAGTTTTAAGTTGCATGTCGGGTTAGTCGCGAGGACTGGGTCGGTAGCCATTTCATGGCGAAGGCTACTTGTGGAGCCTTTGCGGGTGGTATCGAGTTGTTCACAGATACCTCTGGGAACATAGATTCCGGGGCATACCTGGAAGGCAGGTGGTGCGCAGAGCGGTGGTGGGAGGCATGAAAGGTAAGTCCTCTTATTCGAAGTTGGCATCTTTTGAGTTATTTCCATTGGGAGTGGCTGTTGCTCTAAAAGGTGAAGGATTAAGGGATGAAAAGTCATAATTCACGCACAATACTGCGGGGTTCATGTGGTTTACCATCCAGCGGGTCCTCAGTTCAGGAGGTACGCCGATGGCGGCGATTCGTATCACTGTTCAGGTATTGGGTGCAGGCACACCACGTGCCTGGTTGGCGGAAGGTAGGGGCTGGTTACTTGGCTCGCGCACAAGGGACAAGCTGCGTCCCTCCTCCAGGGGGCGCAGGAGGAGGGACTGTCCAGTCTGGAGGAAATGTGGCAGCTCGAGACGCCATGCTTGGAGGATCGATACAGAATCCTATGGCACAGGGACTGCCTATGCGAACGTTTGAGATATGTGGGACAAGGCTGTTGGTTTCACTGTGGGGGCCCAGTCAAAGGAGGGGCAAAGGGATACCTTGCTGTGGTTCCTAAGCCGTTTGTTTGTTCAGCGTTAGCTCCATCAGCAATGGACAGGAGCATGGTGGCATTGTCGTTAGGGTTTAAACTGACTGATTGGGAGGAAGTGACGGAACGTTGTCACGTCCGTCAGGCATCGCGGGTCTTACGGAGAGATATGAAATATGTCGGTGCCGGGCGGCGGGTTTCCTTGGGTAACGCAACGCCTGGTGGTGTATTACCCTACTTTTGCAGTGAGTTTGCTTGCGGTGGCCTTCTCGGAGGCTTGGGGCAATTTGGATTGGGGAACTGGTGAGTGCCTTCGGGCAGGTGTTGGGGAGTTCTACACTTGGTTGTCGAACCTTAGTCGGTTAAGGTAACGATTCAGTAGGGTTGTTCAAGAATGAATGTGTCTGGTAAAGGAGGTTTGGTAAAGCTATATTCCCTGCCGGGGTCAGGGGTACGCCCGGTGTTAAGCGCATCATGCTACTTGGAGCTTTGCCCGGACATCCCGGGTGGCTTACTGGTAAAAGGGGACAGATCGGTGCTGTCACGATTCAATTCCCGCAGGTGTTTGTTCGAAGGGGCTTGACAATGTTGGGTTTGGATCCCGGGCACTTTGGGACCCATTCTTCCCAGGTGATGGCGGTAACAGAGGCACCCCACCTGGTTTTAAGTGAGGACCTAGGGAAACGTTTAGGCAGGTGGGAGTCAGTACGGTTTAAGTCCTGTTTCAGGCCAGTCTATTTGGTTTAATGGCTATGGACGTATGGGTTTGTGTTTGGGGCTATGCCTTGTCGCTAATTACTTTCGTTTCAGGTTTGGTGACATGGTTGGTGGGTCATTCTTATATCTAAGGGGCACAGATGGGAGCCGCGTTTCAGTTCAAACGTAACTGGGCTTTCCTTTGAAATTGGTGGAGCAGGAGTGGTTTTGTTTTTCGGGGATTTTGGTGGCAAGACATTAGGGGAGAAATTTTTCCGGGAAGTAACAAGGGGTACTTTCCAGGACATTCTGGATATTGGCATGGTCCCGGAAAAGGAATTGATCAGGTGGAGGCAGAGGGAGGTGGACCAGCTATGGGAGCTGGCCACGGGTGTGGTAGTGGTGCGGTCCGAGATGGTTCCTTGGTTACATTGGATACATACTACGTACCCGGCCGTGGTAGCTCGGTGTCGAGGACGACTTAATAAAAAATTGATGGCGGTATTTATCAGATGTGGGGGCGGTGTAACAGTGAGACACAACGAATTGGGAGGAAAGCTCCCTGGGTACTCCAGGTGGGATGGGGTACATTTTCA